ATTAAAAAAAATTAACGCCCTATACTTGCTTTCGGGAGATATTCTGTTCAAAAGCCGTCTCGATAACGGCTATCCTAAGGATTCCTGCGGTTTCCTCAGTACCTCCATTAAGGTGCCTCGAATAGGCCATGGCCACTCCCTTATAAGCAATTTCCAGTCATACCATTCGACGTTATACAGTCTAGATATTGGTCACGTAAAAAAGTCACATCCGAGCGTAATTTCCACGCTCCTCTAGTCAGAGTTTACTCCGGCGCTGGATCAGGTTAGTGCGCTGTTGTGCAACAGTGTTTGTTCAAGAATTTTCCGATGTACATACCCAACGTAAAATGGCATTGTCTGTATAAGGTGAATACAATACTGTCAGCTCCAACTTGCAACTCTGCTAACACGATGTAATTCAATCTCTTTCTTGCTGTGTACGGGGAGCTGAGAAAGCGAACGCAACCTCTGGCTGGTGAGCAAAATTTTGCTTCCGTTAAAGTAAGATGGTTTAGAATTTAATTTCGACACAGTCTCTGTTCTTACTTACTCGTGAAATGAGGACTATTTCAGATTCCCATAATTTGGAGAGCACGGAAGTTCTCAACAACCTTTCCACACATGGGAATTGCTTACCTTTCATACAGAGCTTCTTATCTTGAAACATTCCATCAAACTATGACTCTAGCCAAGGAAAGGGAAATGTGCTTTGCAAAAGCATTCTGTGCCATTTTGCATAAATCGTTGATCTCGTACAGGGGCGGAATTAAGGGGGAGTGACCGAGGCGGTCGCCTCGGGGCATTCACAAAACAGAAATAGAATCCGCAGAGTGTGAAACATCTGCTTCGCTAAAATCACGAAAAGTTGGTCTGTGTTTTTGGTTACTATAAGAAATGAGGGAATAGAAATATTTTTCAGAGCCCAAAGGCGTTGTTACTGGTAGTGGCCTCCACACTTTGCTTGCCCGGGGCCCCCAGAACTCTAATTCCGGCCCTGATTTTAGGTCTCATTTGTTGGAGTCACAATCTATTGTTACAAACTTCAGAAATAGCTACCTTACGATATATTGTAAATTGTTTCTTTTATTTCCTTACATACAAACCATAAGAATTGATTCAATAGACGTTGTAGGACTTAGTTCGATTTATGTTGTTATATAGTTATATATATTTGGCCGCGCCATAGCTCAAGCGGTTAGTCACTGGCTTCCCACCGCGGCGGCCCGGGTTCGAGCCCGGGTCTGGTCAAGTGGGATTTGTGGTGGACAGAGTGGCGGTGGGGCACGTTTTCTCCGAGAACTTTGGTTTCCCCTGCCAATCTTCATTCCACCAAATTCTCCACCATCATAATCAGCCGGGGCAGGTACAATAGGCCAATCAGTGGTCGAGGTGCCGAGTGGACCCAGCTGGATTCCAACTCCCCGCCCTATGCGAATTAAAAAAAAAATTTGTATGATGAGACATTTCTGAGGAAAAAATATTAAGTTTGATCTGAAAGTCATGTAAAGCTGGGGTTACAGTGTAGGAATAGGGCCCAAAAATCCATTCCACCCAACAACTTTCAGAGTGGATTTTTCAGTATCCATTTTATCGAAATATTTACAGTATCTTGTATGTTAAAAACACGTAGATATGCATTACCTTCTCATCGTGCATTAACTTTATTGTGCAGCTTGTGAAGTTAGGGCATAAGAATCGAACCTTATAATCCTAATCGCTGAAGAATACACAGAAGATGTTAATCATGAAGAGCTGAAGTTAACGCGACAGTGAATATGACAATTAGAGTCTCCTGGGGTGTAATACCGCCGGTCACGGTAGCCGAGCGGTCTAAGGCATGCACTGTCTTCGCTCGCTCGTGGGTTCGAATCCCACTCAGGGCATGGATGTTTAGGTTGTGTGTGTGCGTTTTTGTATGTTTAGGTTGTGTGTGTGCGTTTTTCTGTGTTTGTCTACAGGTAGAGAGGCCTTGCGACGAGCTGATCACTCGCCCAAGGAGTCCTACCGTATGTCTAAGATCTAGAAAAACCGAAGTGAACGGAGTTCATGGAGGTAGGCCTAGGCCCACTGGGGCTGTAGTGCCAAGGGGGGGGGTGTAATACCATGCCGTTTGGTAGACTGGTTCTTCCGAAGCGTTGGTGGCAGTCTACCAAATTATATAACATCATATTCCAGAAGACTGCTACTTTAACCAAGCACAAATTATGCGTATTATCATAGCGGTGACAGGCACAGACTATGTCCCAGCTCAAGAAAGAAATATAACAGTTTATCCTTTAATTACATAGGCCTCGTTAAAAGATGACACAGAAAAATTCCTTTCGATTTGATACTAAACCTCTTTATAAGGACAGCAGCGAAAGTACAGGACCATTATGGAACTGAACAATACTGTGAGTACCCGTACTTTCCATTTCGAAGCTGGTATTCCCAAATATGCTATATGTTAATGTATGTTAATTGCATTCATCACTATAAACGTGTGCCGTAGCCTACACGAAGGGTCCTGGAACGTTATGAAGAATGTACTCATCATTAATATATGTGCAGTTACTTTCTGGATTCTGTCTCCGTCTTCAGGTATAAACTACTTAGCTGGGTTCAATCGACAGATGCTGAATCCAATCTCCGAAACGTCCTGTTTCGAATCATAAACAGGAAAGTGTTTTAGACAAAAACAGAAAGATGGACAATGTCCAGAAAGGTAATATTTGTACTAATGTACCATCGTCACAGACTTTAAGATCTTGTTAATCTTTCTGTACATGAATACGGCCATGGAATTTTTTTTTTATTATTCTTAGTGGGGTGAGACTTGGTCCACTTGGTATAGCGGCCAATACTGGCCTATTATACCAGCCCCAGATGATAGATGGTGGTGACTGTGGAGCAATTTCTGGAATGAAGATTGGCAGGGGAAACCGAATTACTCGGAAAATGGTCCCAGCGCCACTTTGTTCACCTCAAATCCCACATGACCAGACCCGGGCTCGAACCATGACCGCCGCGGTGGGAAGCAAATGGCTAACCGCCTGAGCTATGGCGCGGCTTAATATAGTCATGGATATTTCTTTTTCTTCACGTATGATACAAGGCAAATCTTTCGTTCGTTTCTCCCACCACAACAAATTCTTTCCATTACGAATGCGACCGTGATTATTTTTGTTCATGGCTGAGGCCATGAGACAATTTTATTCACGAATGCCGCCCGGGGAGTTCCTGGTTGACAGCTGTTCCTCTGAATTAAACGAAGCGAAACAGACAGACAGGACTTCATGCCTCCTGAACCGTCATAAGAATAACACAAATGAACATGTCTATTTACCCACTTTTTGATATTTCTTCCGTTTTATATTTTATATGCATTGTAAAGCCTTTGTAAGTTAAACTGTATTGCAGTCCCAGTTCTTCTACCATACAGTTTCATAAAAGTAATGGGTGTATGGTTGTAGAACACCTACGTCACGACAGTCAGTAACTTATATTACGGCCCCATCTCGTATCCTGCCGACTTCACATTAATGTTTCTGATACAGACACATCATTACAATGAGAAAAGTGCAGTAGACCCTCATTACATGGCGCATTCGGATAAACCATAGCTTTAATGATATCCTTCACTATCGTTACATACGTTTTATGTTGTACACATTTCTAAGAAATATTTTATTTTCATTTTTGAAACGTAAGTCTGAAATATACCTTGAATTTCATGAACTTATTCCTCAGTCACTGCATAAATATTGTGTGTGTAATAACAAGTAAGCGGTCTCCGTAGTCTAGAGGTAACGTTCCAACCTCATGACTCGTAGTACGCGGGTTCAAATACCCGGCGGAGGTCGTCGAATTTTTAAGGGCGGAAAAATTCAGGGAACAAGTCCTCCGGGGGGGGACTTTAAGCTGTGTGTCCCGTGTCGTAACTTTACGGCACGTAAAAGAACCTCATATCCCCAAAGGGGATCACTGAGCCAAATTCCAGGACGTTTCCCGCCCAACAATAGTCTCTAAGCCCTGTGATAGATGGGGGAAGCATTATAGACACCGCTAAGCAAGTGGCCGAACTCGCTTGCTCGGCGGAACTGATGGTACGCACCATTTATCGGTAGGGTAAAGAGACTGGTAGAATATCATAGAGGGAAGCACAATAGATCAAACTGGTCGCGGTGCATGGGGAAACCCACCCTCTCTAAATAACTAACTAACTAATAACAAGTATCGCTGGTCACGGTAGCCGAACGGTCTGAGGCATGTACCGTCTTCGCTCGCTCCGAAGCCGCGATCATGGGTTCGAATCCCTCACAAGGCATTGATTTTTGGTGAATGTACGCGTTTATTCTATGTTTATGTTGTCCTGTGTTTAGCTAGAGGCCTTGCGACGAGCTGATCACCCGTACAAGGAGGCCTACCGTCTGTAAAAATGGTCAATGAAACTGAGAAATCAGCCCTGTGCTCCAAAGTTGGAGCTAGAGGGGGAAAAAACTAACAAGTATTCCAAAATTATATGTCAGTTTCACGTATAGCGTGAGTACTGAAGCTGTCCCTCTATACCTGCTTTAAATTAAGGGTCTTCTGTAATACAAAATTTACTTACTTACTTACTCATGGAGCTGAGCCCTTCTGGAGGAGCCGCCAATTCTGCAGCTACTCAAAAATTTCCCAGCATTTTATCCGTGTTCACAAGAGCCCTCCACTGGTCCCTATCCTGAGCCAGATCTTTCCAATCCATACCATCCCATCCTATCTCTCTAAGATCCATTCTAATATTGTCCACCCACCTAGGCCTTGGTCTTCCCTGTGGTCTCTTTCCTTCTGGCTTTCCCACCAATATCCTATACGCATTCCTCGTCTCCCCCATTCGTGCTACATGACCTGCCCCCCTCATCCTCCTTGACTTGATCATTCTAATTATACTTGGAGAAGAGTATAAGTTATGAAGCTCCACATTATGCAGTTTTCTCCAACCCCCTGTCACTTCATCTCTCTTCAGTCTGTAATACAAAATTATTAAACTCAAATACCTGTTACGTGCAGGTAACACATTCGTGTTCACTTGTAAGGTGGCCATATTCAAGATTTATGAAACCACAAACACTGAAATACGTTTTAATTTCTACTTGTCTACACTGTACATCTCTCGCACATTGTTCGTGGCACAAGGATTGTTACACCGTGACAGCAGAGATACCGTCCGCTACACACAGTGACGTGCTCCTGACTGAGGAAGCCAGTTCTGTAACAGCATCTCCGACACACTCGTAAATAAATACACCTGACAATAAAAACCACGAACCGCAGGCCGAAAGGAGTTCGTTGCCAAGATGACCTGTGCAACTCAAGATAAGGAAACTCTGATTAAGGTTTCGTGGCGTCATCATCAGATGTATCCAAGAAAGTGGAATCGATTTGTTATTGTCACTTGGACAGGCACTTAGTTCCTTTGGCAAGATGTCAAGTTCTCTTCCCTCCTTTGGGCACATGCATTCGGATGCTTTCTGTGTAGTTTCTGTCTCGTTATTGAACAGAAAGTTTATTTCTTCTCCTTCCTCAGTGAAGGTCCCATGTTCACATCCCCTAGGCACATCCGTGTAATTCTTTACGTTTCTTCTGAGGTTTCACATTTCTCGTTATACGGCATTTACATGAGGCGAGTGACAAATGTTTATGGGCCGAATATTTCTATGCAGTAACCAATAAACTGCGCTTGACATAACTTAACAAATATTACCGAGACAATTTAATTTTTATTTTAATCAATCCACGTGCTCTATATGGAGCTGAAAGAGTATTTTACTTTCTTTTTATGAGTTACATTTTCCAAAACACGGCTCATCGTAGGAAAGCATGGCACACAATAAAATATAGACGTCATTGATCTCTACGAATTTCATTTGAAACATTTTTCATTGTGGCGAATATTTAACGAAATATAACGCAAAATATTTCCGTATGTAATGCGGGATGAATATTTGCCGTGTGATTAGCCTTGCAACAGTGCAACGCCTATCCAATACGTGAACGATAATGTCAAAGAGATACACAGAATCGCAAAGAATGCATTTAGAGACTATGTGAATTCTCCCGGAATACATCTTCAGCACTCACTGTGCACAACGCGCAGTTTCTGTCTTGCTCACCTTCACTGAAAGATCCGTGTCCGGGGTCCATGCAGTTCGGGGCGTTTCTGGGTAGCTTCCCAATTACGCGTGTAAATGTTACGAGCCGCTGACGTGTCGCACGTCGCAGCAGAACGAAAATCCTCTGCCACTGGTTCTCAAGACGCACGGATAGGTGGACCTCCAAACATTTCCTGTGCCAGGTGTTAAGTATTAGTTACAAGAATTTTTCGTTTTTCTTTTTCAATCGATATAGACTGAAGCTGTGGCCGTCTGTTTCTAGAGATGTTCAAGAATTCTTCGCTTTTCTTTTTCAATCGATATAGACTAAAGCCGTGGCCGTCTGTTTCTAGAGATGTTCAAGAATTCTTCGCTTTTCTTTTTCAATCGATATAGACTGAAGCTGTGGTCGTCTGTTTCTAGAGATGTTCAAGAATTCTTCGCTTTTCTTTTTCAATCGATATAGACTAAAGCCGTGGCCGTCTGTTTCTAGAGATGTTCAAGAATTCTTCGCTTTTCTTTTTCAATCGATATAGACTGAAGCTGTGGTCGTCTGTTTCTAGAGATGTTCAAGAATTCTTCGCTTTTCTTTTTCAATCGATATAGACTAAAGCCGTGGCCGTCTGTTTCTAGAGATGTTCAAGAATTCTTCGCTTTTCTTTTTCAATCGATATAGACTGAAGCTGTGGTCGTCTGTTTCTAGAGATGTTCAAGAATTCTTCGCTTTTCTTTTTCAATCGATATAGACTAAAGCCGTGGCCGTCTGTTTCTAGAGATGTTCAAGAATTCTTCGCTTTTCTTTTTCAATCGATATAGACTGAAGCTGTGGTCGTCTGTTTCTAGAGATGTTCAAGAATTCTTCGCTTTTCTTTTTCAATCGATATAGACTAAAGCCGTGGCCGTCTGTTTCTAGAGATGTTCAAGAATTCTTCGCTTTTCTTTTTCAATCGATATAGACTGAAGCTGTGGTCGTCTGTTTCTAGAGATGTTCAAGAATTCTTCGCTTTTCTTTTTCAATCGATATAGACTAAAGCCGTGGCCGTCTGTTTCTAGAGATGTTCAAGAATTCTTCGCTTTTCTTTTTCAATCGATATAGACTGAAGCTGTGGTCGTCTGTTTCTAGAGATGTTCAAGAATTCTTCGCTTTTCTTTTTCAATCGATATAGACTAAAGCCGTGGCTGCCTGTTTCTAGAGATGTTCGTATTTTACAATATTGTATCAACTTGGTGGACATCCTAATGCTGATTCGTGTTCTGTGCCTCTCCAGGATTAGTGGGGCAGTGCAAAGTTTACTTTCGAACGAACTACGATCCCTTACTAAAAACAACAACAAGCGCCGTGGCTTTAATCCGCAAGCGAACTATACCGACCGAGCGAACGCCGCTTGTCGGCGAAGTTAGTGCCAACTTTAGCGGACAGAGGGTGTAGCGTGGTCAGCGCAACGAATCCCCACGGCAGTTAATTTCGGTTCTCTAGACCGGAGCCGCTACTTTTCCATTCAAGTAGCTCCTCAATTATCCTCACAAGGCTGAGTGGACCTCGTTCCAAACCCACTACTTCTCAGAAAATTTGGTAGCGCCGGAAATCGAACCCGGGACCTCTGGATTTGTAGCCAGGAACCCTGACCACTAGATGACAGAGGTGGTCCGTCCCCTATTGCAAGACACATATCTACACAACGGTTTTGGTATTGATCTCACCTACATCAAAGCAATGGAGTGCTGCAGTTGAAATTTCATTAGTGAGTGACCAAAGAATTATCTCTGAAAAAAATCTCAGGTGCACTGAAATAAATGACTAGGTCTTATACGTTCTCATAAAAAAAATGAGTAAAATATATCAAGATTAGCCACTCACTTTTGGATCCTGACGTGTTCTGTGGTAATAGATGGACCTAACAGAAGAACAACTTTTGTTAAGGCAGGTGTTTCTTTCTTTCTTTCTTTCTTTCTTTTTTTTTTTTAACGAAACAGTAACACCACGGCAGCGTGAAATGCGTGTATTCTATATACAAGTACTATGTACTGTGTACTCTATATTCTTGTGACGATGATAAAGCAGCTACTTGAAATAGTAAATTTAACTTTTGTATACAGACAGATCGCCGGTCACGGTAGCCGAGCGGTCTAAGGAATGCACAGTCTTCGCTCCCTTGGAAACCGGGATCGTGGGTTCGAATCCCACTCAGGGCATGGATGTTTAGTTTGTGTGTGTGCGTTTTTCTGTGTTTGTGTACAGGTAGAGGCCTTGCGACGAGCTGATCACCCGCCCAAGGAGTCCTACCGAATGTGTAAGATCTAGAAAAACAGAAGTGAACGGAGTTCATGGAGGTAGGCCTAGGCCCACTGGGACTGTAGTGCCAAGGGGGGAAAAAAACAGACAGATCATTTACATAAACGTATCCACAAATTCTGCATGAAACACTTTTCACACGCCGACAATTACTGAAACGGTGACGATGCAAAAATTTGAGCTTGTATATGTCTAGGTGCCACCTTATCGTGGTGAGGGGGTTTGAGTATGCCAAGGACCCTGAGAGCTATACCAGCGGTAGCGTAGCTACTGGCAGGGCCTCCCTTGCTGGACAGGTCAAAGGGTAGGCATCAGACGAAGAGAGACACCAAAAACTGATGCCGGAAGCAGCGTCATCAG